CTCTCCGTTAGCAAAGAGGCTAGGCCGATTGCTCAACGGCGCCGGAAAACGGGGGAAGAAAGAAAAACCGCCATCGAAGCAGAGGTGACCAAGTTGCTAGACGCTCAGTTTATCCGAGAGGTGCACTACACGACTTGGCTGGCTAACGTGGTCATGGTTAGAAAGTCAAATGGGAAATGGCGTATGTGCACCGATTATACCAATTTAAATAAAGCTTGCCCAAAAGACGCCTACCCACTCCCAAACATCGATCGGCTCGTCGATGGGGCATCCGGCCACAAATTCTTGTCTTTTCTGGATGCTTACTCGGGATACAACCAGATCCGGATGCACCCCCAAGACGAAGAAAAAACTGCATTCATCACCGAAACAGCCAATTACTGTTACCGGGTGATGCCGTTCGGATTAAAAAATGCCGGGGCCACATATCAACGTTTGATGAATAAAATCTTCCACAACCAGATCGGCCGAAGCATGGAAGTTTATGTTGATGATATGGTGGTAAAATCAAGTGATGTATCGGCACATACGCATAACTTGGCCGAAGTGTTCCAGGCGCTTCGGCAACATCAGATGAGACTCAACCCCGAGAAATGTGTGTTTGGAGTTTCGGGCGGCAAGTTCTTAAGGGCTTCCAAAATTTATGTTATTTATTCCAAAATTAATTTCATCTACTTTAAAAGTAAACGATTTTTAAGGGCTTCAAATAGATGAGATAGACATCGTCCAATTGTCACATGAAACCAAATTTTTCAATATTGAAATATGCATATTGTACCGGAGAGACCGTATCGGTCACGTGGGCCAACACGTGCCATTTCGTCAGACACCCATGCATAGCCACGAACAAGCATCACCATCAACGTCGGCTCGGCATGAGGCCGAGAACCGACATCAGTCTGGTTAATGCAAATATGGACCATCATCATTCATCGAGTCGGCTCGGTCAGGTACCGTTCCGACATAGAACATACCGGAAGTATCCAGGCTGCCGTATACGGACTAGACGGTTCGGTCATTTGCCGTTCCGACTAGTATTGATTAGCCGGCTCGGCCTCTTGCCGAAGGGTTAAGCAAGTCATAACAAGTAATCACAATCAAGAAAGGTAAGTACATGATTAAAGCCTAAACGACCAATTAGTATCGTATTACCTAATTTGGTAAATATCTGAGAGGGCCCATCACGCTCAGGCCCATGTCAGATGCTATAAATAGGTCACACGTAACAAGGTATGTCACTGTTCATTCATTACCCTAGAAAATCGTGCCCACACTGACTTAAGCATCGGAGTATCTTTTGCAGGTACCTCCCCCTCCGAAGAATCCACCTAGAGCTCTCGTTCGGTCCTCATATTCCCCTGAAGATTACGAGTGTACCCTCAGGCAGTTACACATATGGTTTCATTAAGGCTCAATTAATAAGTTAATTGACACAGTTAATCTGGTATAGTGAAATATATAAAAATATATAATTTACATACAGTTAATGGATTGAAATATGTAAAAATAAGTCATATACACAATTATAAAGTAATATATATGTAAAATAAATTTAATTTATTATTATTTGTAAAAGATTTATAAATTTAACAATATTACGTGATACTATTATATTATTTTAATTAACCCAACTTGAAAATACATGTTATTTAATAACTATAACAATAATACTATTTTTTTTTTCATAAAGTAAGTAACTTTTTTTATTAAAAAAGTGTAATTTTTTGTTGTTTTTTTTTTATCGAATTGGTTCTTATAGGAGTAAAATAAATATTCTTAATCATAATTTCATATCTAAGTCGAAAATGGAACTTCGACATTAGATTAAGAACTTTGCATGTATTTATCTAATATATTTTGAAAATAGTTTTTTTTTTAATGTATTTAAGAAGCAACACGTATTTATTTATTTATTTATTTATTTATTTAAGTACATTGTTTTAATGTTAAACATAGTGGTCCAATATTGATTTCAATGAGCATTAGTTTTCAAGGAGGGCGATGTTGATTTTTTTCCTCTAGGTGTTAGACCATTTTAGTTTTGTTCTTCTTATGGGTGATGAAATACGTGGCAATAAAGACGATGTGATATACCTAATACTATGATGAAATTATGAAATGATTATGATGAAATTATGAAATGATCCGAGCATAAAAATTTCTAAATTTTGTTCAGTTCTTCTATATAAGTTTAAGTTGCTACCGTGAACACAGTAAGAACTCAACGATTATTGTTATAATATTTGTTTGGGTAATTGTTTTTAAAAAAAGAAACATTTATAGGAATAAAATAGGAAAAGCTAATTTTTTTTCTCACTTATTTATTTTTTATCCCCTTTCCCCTTATCTTCTCTGACTTTATTTTTCTCCCTCTCTCTCTTGCTTGTCTTCCTTTCTTTTTTTCTTCTCTCCATTTCTCACCTCTTTCAATGTATCATAAAAAGTATTAATAGCTTTTCTAATTATTAAATTATTAAATATTCAAAAGTTATTATTAAATATTTACAATTTGATAAAGATTTATTTTTATAAAGTTTAATCTTAAAATATATATAT